ATATGTATATATATATGTATATGTATATATATGTATACGTATATATATATATCGATATGTATATATATATATACAATATCACTGGGAGTACAGTCAGTCAGATAGTTGACAGCTACAGCATCAACCTGGCACACATTCCAGATGTGCTAACATTCGAAAACTAGTGTATTTTATTCGAAAAAATATTGCGGAGAATTTTTCTCAAAAGCTATCTGAACAAGTTACCTAAAAATAAAAAATGAATCTTCATTGAAGAATTAAAAGACTTTAGAATTCCATCGGGAATAAAAAAGGTTTATATAAAGTTTAACAAGAGTACGTAGAGAAAAACCATATTGATGCTTCTTTTGCTGATAATCAACACATTTTGATGACATCATTCTGTATACAGTCAAACCTGGTTATAGCGAAGCTTGGTTATAACGAAGATCTGTTTATAATAAAGATTTTCTCTTAAGCCAATCAAATTTGAGTATATGGCTGACTATAGCGAATTTCATTAAGAAATCTGGTTATAATGCTTATAACAAAGATTTGGCAGAACAACATAATGTGCTACTAATTGACTATAATGAAGATTTTCATTATAAACAGACTGACCTTCATTATAAAAAATTGTATCACCATAAATTCGTTACAAACAGATAGATATTCGTTATAACCGTTAGTGTTACCTAAATCTATAATGGCACATTGTCTTCAAGATAATAATGAAAAGGTCTTTCTTCTTTAAAATAATGTCAGAAAATTTAAATACAAAAAAGCGAAATTTAAAGCGTAATGCGTTAACAGGCGAACAGAAAAAAAAGTTATGTCTAAAAAAACAAATGAATTCAAAAATTACTGGTATTGATTTAGCTCGTGAATTTAGCATAGGTGAAGGAATTGTGAGCGGTATTTTACGTGAAAAAGATAAATAGTTAAGTATTGATTCAGATATGCCTAAATTAAGTTTGAAAAAACAACAGCCTCCCGCGTGGTCTCAACTCGAAGAATCCTTATCAATATGGATGGATCAAGCTATTCGCTATAATCATACTATTTCTGGGCATATTATGAAAGAAAAGGCCAGACGATTTGCAGAATTATTGCAGATAAATAATTTTACTGTATCTTCTGGGTGGTTTGACAGATTTAAAAAAAGGTATAATGTCAGAAAATACTTGAGAGCGGATGAAGGTAATAGTGCACCTCTCAAAAATCTTCCCGAGTTCAGAAACCAATTACAAGATGTCATTAAAAATTACGAGTTGAAGAACGTATTTAATTGTGCTGAGATGGCACTTTTCTGGCTTTTAGAACCAAACAGGACATTATCCAAAGGAGTAGTCGTTGGAACAAAAAAATCAAAAGAATGCGTGACAGTATTGCTTACTTGTAGTGCATTGGGTGAAAAAATTAAACTGACTTTTATCTATCGCTACGAAAATCCACGAGTATTAAAGAATATTCAGAAATCGACCCTCCCAGTTTTTTATTACTGGAACAATAAAGCGTGGATGCAACGTTCCATTTGGTCCGCCTTCGTAAAACAATTAAATCAAATTATGAAAAATCAAAACCGACATATATTGTTACTTATCGATAACGCTTCGTGTCACAGAATTGATGAAGAACTCCACCTTACGAACATTACCATACACCCTTTACCAGAAAATACAACTGCTCATCTTCAGCCATGTGATGCCGGAATCATTTATAGTTTCAAGGTACAAACAATGTATGCTCTACGCTTGGTATAAAAACTTAAGTTTTATTAATCTGACAACGTACTTTCAGGCTAAATATAGACAACTGCTTTGCGAAAATCGCATCCAAGAATTTGATAAAGAAATAGAAACTGGAGTATCACCTTCAAAACTCTCTATACTGGATGCGATTCAAATGACGGTCACCGCTTGGGATAGGATTACGACAAATACTATAAAAAATTGTTGGATTAAAACAGTAATTCTTCCGTTATCATATGACAACGCCGAGACTAGTTTGTCGGAACTAGAGGAAAGTATTCAACGCGATAAGTGTCAAATGCAACATTCCATTGATAACTTGTTAGGAAATGATAATAATGTTACAGCGAACGATTTTTTGTCTATTGATGACAAATTATTGTCGATTGAAAACTACGAAGAAAGTACTGAGCAGGAAATCGTTGATTGCGTTCTTGGAAAAAATACAGAAGTGGAAACTGATGAAGATGCTCCTAGTGAAGTCATTGACGTAAGCAACAAGGAGGCGATTGAATGTCTTGAGAAGTTGCAAAAATATATTAATCAAGAAAATAATATGTCAGTCTCGTTCGAATGGATGCGTCAGTTTAACAGCATTAAAAATAGTATTCTCAATAATATTATGTCTAAAAAAGTACAAACGCAGTTGGAGCAGTATTTCGACTTTAACCTTAATAATTAGAAATAGATATACAGCAGTCCCTCTATAAGTTGTTTATAGGCGTCGCGTCGGATATGAATTTAACTAAAGTTGATCAATATGTTATGATAATTAGCATTATAAAAAAATTCGTTCCTAGCGATCTGGATATAATGAACCTAATTATAAATAATTATAATCTTCGCTATAAAAGTGACCTTGGTTATAAGGAATTTCTGGTTATAAAGAATATTTTCTCTGGTCCCGTCGAATTCGTTATAACCAGGTTTGACTGTACCCAGTTTTGACCAGGTAACACCGTTAATCTATAGATCATATCGCCAATAAAAAATTTTCATGCCCCTTTTTGAAAAATAAAGTATTCTTTGTGTTTATAAATGGGTTTCAAGGGTAAGCAATTTAGACAGAAACAACAACGGAAACGACGAAGACGATAAAAAACGACGAAGGCAATAAAAACGAATACACGGAAACGACGAAGGCAACAAAAATGAATACTCATCATTTAACATTAACAACGGAGACGACGAATACTTCTCATTGACAACAACGGAAACGACAAAGGTAATACTTCTTATTAACAACAACGGAAAAAACGAAGGCAATAAAAATAGATACTCATCATTTAACATTAACAGCATGAAACAGTAACGGCAATACAAGCTCACACTTTTCCCACAGTGTCGTGATCATGTTATACCAATTCAACTTGGTTCTAACGAAGAGAAGCGTTCAGAGACTTTCACTGCACTTTTTTTTAAATTTTCATTTTCGCAGCGGATGATAGTCGAATCTTCGTCTTTTGCGGTGTTCACGTTGCAGGCTCACTTACCCCATCCAATGGTTCAACCCATTCGAAGGGCTGAGAGCCCGCATAATAGCGATGGGTGTAAAGCGCCCACAGTGTCGTGATCATGTTATACCAATTCAACTTGGTACTAACGAAGAGAAGCGTTTGGGACCTTCACTGCACTTATCAATAGTTCAACCCATTCCACTTTGTCGTGAATCTTTTTCGTTGTTTGCGGGCTATGATCGAAGAAGCACTTACTGTTTGCGGTGACTGGCACTAAGCCATTTGCACCGTGAAGAGAAGCATTCTGAGCCTTTCACTTTTCTGAACTTTTTTAAAATTAAGATCATTATATGAGCAGTGTTGTCAGTTTTCGTTAAATGGCGTGTTTGGAGCTAAGTGCTTGCTTAACAATAATAATGACTTTAACATATGAAACCGATTCTATTGTGTAAAAACAGAATGATTTATTTGTGTGAAATTTATATTTTGACGTTAAATAATTACAAACACAACGATAATACATGTAATAGTTAAAACACTTTTATTTATCGTTATGTTATAATTTGCTAATTTTTGACACGCATATTCAAAGCTTGATTAGCTCGTATTCCATGATGGTGTATAACATCTAAAGTCATCAAATGTTGTATTTTATAAACTTCTTCACTGAAAAGTAAATACAAATTTTAATACGTGAATATGCTCAGAAGAAATTTATCCATTTATAAAATACAAAGGTTTAATGACTTTAGATGTTATGTTCCATTATCGCTATGAGGGCTTCATTACTAAGAAAGAATGAGATGGGAAGATTGATGAACTAGATTATTGATCTATTCTTGATTAAATTTAGTAAATATGAATAAATAACAATTTAAAATATGAATAACACCAAAATTTTAGTGAGTTTTATTATCAGCATCAGAAAAAACCAAAAATAATTAAATCTAATCAGGAAACTCAAACGGAATTAAGCGAGAAAAAGCTAGAGCAGATAAAGTCTGCGGGAAGTGAAGACCAAGGAACTTACTTAAATCAGGCCAGTTTAGATAAAGCAAAGAGAGAGAGGGTCAGTAATCACATGGTGAAAACGCTCGTAATTTTTACGTGAGGGTGAATTTTCGAAATATGAGTATCATATCAACCATGATTTTGTAATTTATTCTTAATTCTTCTTACTTTATTACATGCTCCACTTAAACTCTGATAAGGTAATTTGTAATTAATCGCCACTAAATTTTCACTCATACCACGACAAGCAGGTTCATAAACCACTATGTAAGGACATTCCGAATTAGCCAAACGGCTTTCACTTATAACATTACCACTATCTTTATTAAAGCGTGTTTCGTCTCAATTTCTTTAAATTTGCTAGTAATACTGCAGTTTACTTAAACATTTTTCATGATAAGGACAATAGTCTTCTCAGAAATCATTTATGCTAGTGTAGCAGGAATTTGCTTTGCAGTAGAGCATAATGAAATATTTTAACTTTTTATTGACTGAAAAAGCCGTTTAGATAGGGTTTATTTGAAAAATAATATTAAGCTTTCTCAAATGTCAGTTAAATTGGCTTTAAAAGACTTTTTTGTGATTGAATGTTGGTTACTTGAGTTTAAATTTAGAAAAGCCTGAATAATCTGATTTTCTTAATTTTAGCAAAATTTAAAAGTCCTGAATACGTACTAGGTTTTTTATGGATATTCTAAAAAAACTAAATAATTAAAAGTAATTTAGTATAAAATAAATAAACATTCGCTCGCAGCCTTCTTGATTTAAAGAATGGAAATAATTATCAATTAATTGCGGTAACGGGTTGATTAAAAATTCTAATTAATGATGGGACTCTATATTTTGTTCTTTAGTTTTTGTGTCTTTATCTAGGCTTTTTTCGGTTGTTTCTAGTTTTATTTCTTAGGATTTCCTTCAATAATTTTTTCCAATTGTATGTAGTTCCGTCAGTATAAATAGTAATTATTTATTATTTTCTCTATTTTTTGTAAATTTGCTAGTATTTCATCAAAATTTAATCATTTTTTTTTGTTGTTCATTTCGGTAAATTTTATAAATCAAGTCAACGTTAGTTGACTGAGCTGGCTGATGCTTTCTTTATTAGCTGTTAGTTGTCTATCTTTTTCTTTGCGTATCTTGTTTCATTGAAACTTGTTTTCAACAAAATAATCAAAACAATGCCTAAATAAAGAGTGACAAAAAGAAATTGAAGAGTTGTAATTTGATTTATTTTGATGTAATATCATCACTTCTCTTTCTTGTGGCTCTTTGTTACTTCGTTTAATTTGAATTATTAGGTAAAGATTTTTACTACAAATTTAACTATGGCTAGTTTATCCTTTTGCTGTTGGAATATGGAGAAGGAAAATAATGAAGAAATTGAAACTAAGAGAAAAATAATTTAAGAGTAATAATGAATATGCTAAAAGGTGGTATCAAAATATTCAAATAACTGATAAAAAGTTTTTCCTAATTTTATTGATGTTTTTTACATGATGCTTTGAATTACTGAGAACATGATTTGTGTTGTGCTAGCAAACCGTCTTTTGTTACCTATAAAGCAGAGGACCATTTATAGGAATTAGTTCGAATAAAATTAAAAGTTACTTATCATCTCACTATCGGATTTGGAGTGATACTAGTGCTGTTTTGAAAGTATATTATACCAAATGTGTTATTGCTGATTCCCATTGTGGCGAAGAATTTAAAGCATCACAAATAGAACAGCTACGCTCAAGATTTATTCCTTTTTACGTGTGCGCTTTGTGTTTCTTTCTTGCCTCATTAAGAGTAATTAGCATAGAAGCAACGAAAGGTTGGATCATCATAGCGCTTGTAACAAGGGGTTCGTGACTACAATCAATAATCCACCTAAGTGCTTCTTTGATGCTCTCGTCACTCACCGCTTTTTGAATAAATTTGCGACTAATCCCATGATACCATGGTAGGAATCGGACCAAGCTAACTCCGGTAGCAATTATTGACTTCCCGATGAACTCGATCTATTTTTTTTCGTTATTGTTTCGGTTGTTTAATTGTTCGTTTCCCAGAAATGCTATTGTTTTGACAAATAGGATAATAACTTATCATTGAAACTAATTGAAACCAAAAAATTAAAAAAACTTGGCAAAGAAACACCCGCCGCATATTAGGCAAAACATCCTCTAATTACTTATAGGAATGGCTTAAAATAAGGCTAGCAAACACACACTATAAGTATGCAGCTTCATGAAAAACTTATCAAAGAGATAAAGTTTTTTACACAAACAGGGAATACGAAAATTAACAAAAGCATAGGCTCTAAATATATTTCTTTCTTTGTGATCTATGATTGTGTCAACTCGAGCTTTAACTCTTTTTAACAGTTAATAGATTTAAATTTTTTAAAAATAAATTGTCGTTGTAACTGTTACTAAAAAAAAATTAGTAAAACTAAAAATTGCTCATGATAGATCCTTGAAAAAACCTTATGTGGATTTTTTTAATGTTCTCTAATCAAATTTTCAATTGTTATTGCAAAAAAAACTATTTATCCTTGTTCTAATTTTCTCGTTTATTAGTGCTAAGAATTAAAAAGTAAAGAATTACGTATTTACGAAAAATTTTCAAGTTGCATTTTTCCCTTTCACGAATAACCATGTGAGTTAGGAAAATCAGGAGGCTTACTTAAAAATAAATTAGTTGCTTGGTACTAACCAAATACGTACTAATTTATAGTTAAACTCTTGATTCAAAGAAATCATAACGATAATATGTAACGAGTTTTTTTTGCTTATCATTATCATTTTTTATCCTGTTTGGTACTCTAACCTTTTGACAATCATAGCTGTGGTTCTTTTTTCTTTTCCCCTCTGTTTTCCCATTTTTAATTGCACAAAAGGTATATTGGTGAAGAAAACCGAGTATGAAAGATTACCAATCTCTTTCCCATTTTTGTAATTTTTTCACCTTCATTTGGACCATACAAACTGACACTTGTAGGGCCTAAATATCTGACATACATTTAAATTAACGTAAAATGACATTAAATCACTTTTGTTTTTATATATCAAGAGATCCAAAATCATAAACTTCCAGATTTTTTGCTTTTTATTTAGTTTTGGTGACATGTTGCACTTTAGAGCAGTCAGAATTTAATTTTGAAAAACTGGTTTTGTCTGATTGTTTATTTTATCTCGTTTATAAACTCCAATGTAATTTGTTTTGAATTATGTAATTAATTCAACACAACTTCGCATTTATAATTTTTATATGGTTTAAATTCATTTCTTCATGATCCCACCCGTCGTAATTGTGGAATGATGCTTTAAAATTGTTCAAACCCTCCTTTTGCAAGATATTCAACATTGACCAATCTTTCATGTACATTATTTTATCAAACAGTCGTCGATAGACAATTCAGCTTTATAAATTCGCTTGTGATAATTGAAACACACACCTTTAGTTGCATTTACTACAATCATGAGTATTGCGAACTGAACACTCGGTGTAGTGCTCATATATTCGATTCACTATCTTTAAATCCACTATCTTCAAGTTCACTTTATATGCAGTGTTTTTATTCAACACTTTAAAATGATTATAAAATAAACGATGCATGGAAGTCGATTTGTTATTCCTTTATCGTTATACATGTAGAACTTCGAAAATATTACCACAAAAATTTAAAATGATTAACAATCGTATTAAAAATATCATATCGATATATAGTATTTAGCAGAACATCTTGGAAGGTATAAATCGACCATTTCTTCTATTCTGTTTATTCGATGTCGGCGAAGACGTACGTAATCGATCAATTAAAAAAGAATTGATTCTTTAACATAACAATAAATCGGATTTTATTATCGTTATCAAAGCATGTACTCACGAGTCTCTTACAATACAATTTGGAATACATGTATAAAAAAACATGAGCATGCAAGAAATTGTTACATACGTACGTAATCAGTCTTATCTAGGGGTGCGAACATATTGTAAGATCAGAGTTGCAACTCTAATATGACATGTGCGAGTTGTATTAGAGTTGCAATCCAGCAGTTGCAACCCTAATACGTCATAAGCGAGTTGTAATAAGAGTTGCAACATTCACAATATGTCTGCACCCATTAACTCATCTAGGAATGTGCATGATTTTCCAAATTTAACAAAAATTTATAAATACTAATACGCATCGGTATATGTACGTAACGATAATAAAAGTAAAGTTGGTTATGATTGGTACAGATAATACCGATACGTGTACATGTATTTATTTGTTCATGTTCAACTTTGTATGCTCACATTTACTAATTCTCACCCGAAGTTTTGATTGGCTGAAGATATTAAAGGTTAGTTTTAGCGTTAGAATTAAGGGTTAGAGTTAGGAGTGGAGGAAAGAATAATGTAAAATTGTCTTCCCGACATTTTTATTAGTGCTTCAAGTCAGGTTTACCCGTTCGTTTTCCGTATTTTTCACATTATTCGCATTTTTAATTTTCTTGTGTCGGATTATTTAGAAGACCTGGTTGCAGTCAACCAATCAGCGATGGAAATTACTTGTATCCAATCACAACTTTGGGTGAAAATTAGTAAATGCGCTTCCACGTGATTTGTAATTTTTCCCACAATTCACTTTTGGTGAAAAGTGATCCAGAAGGTTGTCTTATGCATGTATCAACTTTGTTCTATAGGTTTTTGATTGGCTTTAGGTCAGAGGACTGGGATGGACAGTCAAGCAAAGAAATGTCATTATTAGCGAACCATTGCTTTGCTTTTCTGGAGGTATGTTTTGGATCGTTGTCTTGCTGAAAGATAAACTCACTATTCTTCTTCTAGACTGTCCTCAAAAATTATTATTTAGTGTGTCTATATAAATATCTGCATTCAATTTTTTGCAACGCTGTCAACTGTCACGCAACCCCAAACCATAATCAAACAGCCATCAAATTTTACAATTGGCATTATATGCTGGTCTTTTAACGATTTGCCAGGTTTCTTCCAACAATATACATGTACATGTAGTTGGCTATCTACGTAATCCAAAAATTTGGTACATGTATTTGGAACGGGTGTTACTTTTTGTGAGTACTGCAATTGTGTCCCCGATCACGTATTGTAACCTGATAAGTAATTATCAGCCAATCAGATGGATTTAACTATGATACATGTACATGTATATTGATACCGATACGTAACTCCGACAGCTACACTATATGTTTAATAAGAATGGCAAAAAATATTTCTCGTAATAGAGTCATTGTTCACCGTATTGAAGAGTTAGGCATATTAGATTTGAATCCTGATGATGCTTTGATAAAGCAAATACGTAGAAGATTTTTTATTGTGAATATGAAAGAAAAAAAAATGCCAAAAACTTTGATGATTTTCCATTACGTACTATGTATTAATAAAAATCAAGCAACACGGTTTCAAAGTCAATAGCTCAGATGTATCAAAATCTTATATTTTTTCTTTACTTTCGTGAAGTTTTTGCGTTTGTTGGTGGACGCTAATTTTTTCAATCCAAGATTTTATGGATTATAATAATTTAACACACCCGAATTCAAGTCAGGTTATGAGCAACCCAAATTTTATTTATTTGACGTAAATAAAATCAGCTCACAATAAATGTCGATACGTACTTATGATTTTTCTTTAGAGATCAACAATTCTCGTTATACATGTAGAAAATACGTAGTAAAATGTCCACTTCATTTCGATGCAAATTTCACAATTTGGCTAACATCTCACACAATTATAAAAAACGAAACAAAAGATAAAGATAAAAATAAAATATCATCATTGAAGAAAAGATTTTGTTACGATAAATAGATTGTGACTATATGGAGGTCAAATTTCTTATGCTTCATAATAAGTTTGTAACTGAAAAAATGGGACTATATGGAGGTTCGACTGTACGTTTATTGACAACGTTGTATTCGAAATGCATGTTCTAAAAGTACATTGAGTTACAATTTTTTATATCAAATTCCAAAGTTTCCTAAATTTGCACATAATGAAAACAATGTTTGCATAATGAACCGTAATATCTGTAGGTCATATAATCTAATAAATGTGATTGTTGGACTGTTACTCGCATGAATTATTGGTAAAGATCATATGTTTTATGTGTTGTTGGTTTGTTCCTCAATTTCAACACAGTAGCAAAAATTTGGTAGCGATTAGATAATCTTCATTCAACATTTATTATTTTATAAGTGTCAGCATGTTGAACAGGATACAAATCTGGAAAGTATAGCCACAGGTACACTCGGATTCTTTATAGCCTTCCATGTTTCGCTATAGTTTTTTGTAGTTATAGAGATTTCCTGGATTGTTACACACTATAACAAACTCTCGTAAATCTATCGCTATTGAACAAGTCAAATCTGGTTAGAACCTCCTTTTTTTTTTTTTTTTACCTGTGAGCGTATATTGGTCCATATCTTAGTATATAGACATCATTGATGATGTCGTCTAAACTATTTTTTGAAATTTAATTTCTCATGAGTGATAAAACTATCAATATCAAATCAAGCTTCGGGTTTAGTTTCGGCTTTTTAAATTTTATCATGTGGCTGTGTTTTAAACATTATTAGAGTTTTATCAAATATTTCCATTATATGTATAATATTGATGCATAGTTTAATCGTTCGAGAAGAATTGGTGTAAGTAAAATATACATGTATGAACTATTACTGTCCTACAGTTAACAGTTGATAATAAGGCCATCTAGTGCGTTTCCCCAGAAATAACGTGCTTTAACTCGCATGACAATCCTTCACAAAAAATAATATTATGAAGAAACAATGAAAAGAAATACCAGATGCTCGCTCAACCCAGTTGATACATCACATTTCGCCATATCTTGACAATCACACAATCTTCCGGTTATTTTGCGGTTGCTACAATCACATCATCATATGGATAGAATACTGGCAGTGAAAGTTTGCAGAGATTAAAATATATTCTAAAACAAACGATAACAAACGAGTTTAATTTATTATCAATTTTACAATTGATAGGAAATACATCATGTCCAAGAGATCTCAAATATTGATACTCTTTCTCCCTAAGCGTACGCAAACAAACGATGTGTTTGCTTTTCTTCTATTATTTATTTTATAATATAATAATAATCAAAAATAATATAATTTATTAATTAAATATAATAAACTATGAGTTTTTCTCTTTATATAAAATTTTTAATTTACTAATAAATATTTTTTATTTTTACATTAAAGTAAAGATAATATTATATATTTTAACATATATTTTTTAGATTTAATCTGATAAAACTATTCTAATTGCATATAAAATTAATTATTTTTTTATAAGTTATAATTATAAAAAATAATTGACTTCATATAAAATTAGTACAACTTGATCAGATTAAATCTGAAAAAAATATATATTAAAATATATAATATTATTTTTATTTTAATGTAAAAATAAAAAATATTTATTAATAAATTGTAAACATTTATATAAAGAGAAAATTCATATTTTATTAATAAATTTTGTTGTATTAGTTTTGATTTTCACTATATTTTAATATTAATGTTTGAATAATTTATCTTTTCTCTTCTATTATTTTTATGTGTATATTAATTTTCTGTAAAAAAAATAATTAGCCAAAAATCTGGTTATTTAGTTCCAGAAAATTACAGGTTTAATTGATAAACTTTGATTAAAATAAAAAACAGGAATTATAATATTTTGTAATTTACAATTCAATTCAGATAAAAATCTTATTATTTGATTTATCTAGTTTTGGTGAATCAAATAGTAATATTTTTATCGGATTGAACTTTTGGATAATGAACATATGATATTCCTTGTTTTTTTTTAATTCAGATTTTCATCAGATTTTAATCCTGACATTTATAACTACATCTATGAATTTCTGGAATTAAGAAAACCAGAATTTTGTTTAAGTAGGAGTTATATGTGCAAAAATTTTTTATATTAAATGCACCATTTATCACATAATTGTTTTTAATTAATATCTATAATATAGGGATAGGAATCGATTCTCTCGAATCGATTAATATTTGAGAATCGATTAAAATTTGAAAATCGATTTCAAGAATAAAATCGATTAATACATGAAACGATAGAGATTTTCACTTGTAAAATGATATAGCGCACGACAAACTACGTATGATGCATAACATCTAAAGTCATCAAACGTTTGTCTTTCATTTAATGGATCAACTTCTTTACTAAGAAGTAAATACAAAATTTAATCCGTGAATATTCTCAGAAAAGGCCTATTCTATAATATTCACAGATTAAATTTTGTATTTACTTCTTAGTACAGAAGTTTATACATTTTATAAAATATAAGCGTTTGATGCCAAAAAAATAAAAAATCATTATTTATTTGTTAGAAGATAGATCAAAATAATTTTTTGGTTCAAAGTATCATTAAATCAAATTGACTTACCTTATCTGTCGATATTCCCTTCCTCGCCATTTTTTTTCAGCATTCCGTTTCTTCTGTGAGCCACTGTAGCTTACTCCGATCATCGAGGTCGAGCAGTTGACAAATATCAGAATACACTCAATTTGGCCTTGATTGAAACTGATTATCGGGAACTGCAGAATGAATGAGTAGATGTATGTAATCGAATGGGGCATTAATGTCATATTGTAAAGTACTTCTAACTCTGTGTTCCCTTTTTAATAGAAAGCAAGAATTATGCATGACTGGGAAACGTGGATGCAAGAGAGAACAGCAGTATGTCCAGCCGCTGACTTCCAAATGGACTTATTTAGCATCGACAAACGATTTGAACTCTAGTTTGTAAATTATCCATGTACAAATCTTTAATACTCATGAAGAAATAAGCACGTTGGTGCAAAACAAGGTAAAGCCATGCTCTTCGAAAACAATTAAAGGGATATACTTAAAAATGTTTGGAAAATATTTACTACAGGGTGTGCCACCAGCAAAGGACACTGGCTGGATGGAGAATGCAGTGATGAGTCACGGAATTCCAAGCACAAAATGTATGACATAGAGAAGAACGAAGATGAATCATTGATGAGGATGACCAATTCGAAGAAAAAGAAGCAAACGTCAATGAATCCAAGTATCATCACAAGCAAATAATTAACATGCAAAAATGCTGGCCAAGAACTGATGAGGTGCATGTAATATGTCAAATTATTTTTTTCTTCAAAACAGATTGACTAATCTTCATTGCTTCCAATTTCGAAGATGAAATTCTCAATCTGACGAGTTTATTATGATGATTTGATTGCAATAAATATTTACGTTAGAAAACTGTGTTGCTATAAAAGAATGCAACGTAACGTTTTAAAATAATCTAACGCTAACTATCAAGACGTAAAATTCCCGTTCTTGGATCACCTCTGATCGGCGATAATTTTCAAGTTGCCGATCAAGGGTGAATCAAAAACGAGAATTTTGCATCAAAATTCAGGAGTCATGATATTTGAAAAATGAGCAAATTTTTGATTTATCGTTCTGGAATATCGATTATATTTATTAACGTTAGCGATAAAGAATTAAAAATCAGCATAAATTCAACAAAACAAAGGTAATTGCGGATTTAAGACAAAATACATAAATGCGTTGAAAATCATATTGAAATTCAATAAAATTCAGTGTCAAAAAATTCCTAATTTCTCATTGAGAAATTCCTCAGTCCACTTCCACAACCGACTAGCAGTCTCTTGATTCGTGGCAAACGGTTTCGGTGTTTCTAATTTCGCAAACGGCACAAAATACTTAGCACGATAATTTTCTTTTTCAATTTCAGGGCTCGTAGCCACGTATAATTGCGTTAGAGCACCATCGTCTTCATTCATCGCGAATATTCCAATTAAGTTGAAGGCTATTTTAGCCAAGACTCCATTTTCGGCTATGAATCCGTGTGCTATATTTGTAGCGACAGTACCTTTAAACAATGATTATAAATTATTAAATTTTAATTTGAAGAACAAATCAGAAAAATTATATTTTAGAAATTACCTGGATGAACTGCATTCGCCCATACTTGTTTTCCTTCAAGTCGTCTCGCTAATTCTATGGTAAACAATATATTGGCAGTTTTCGACTGACCATATCGAGCCCATACGCTTTCTTTTTCAAGGTTGATATCGTCAAAATTTATCCCGTTTGGAGCACGTTTATGGAAACCGCTGTCAATTCAAAAAATCAGAATTAGTTATCAAGTGTATTTCTATAAGATAAAAAATCCAATATATACCTGGCAATATTTACAATACGCGAAGGAGCTGATGCTTCGATAACTGGTAAAAGTGTTTTAGTAAACACCTATTTTTTTAAGAGAAATAACAAGTGTATTCGTAGATATTAATGAAATGCGATATCGATATTGTATACTGTACACATGTACTCACAAAATGACCGACATGATTTGTTGCGAATTGTTTTTCAATTCCATGTTCATTTAATTCGTATGACCTAATAAATAAGCAAAGCGCATTAATTAAAAGTTACAACTAAACTTGTAATGACGGATAACTTAAAACCAAGATACTCACGTTGCCATAATTCCAGCGTTATTAACACTAAAATATAAACATTAGCAAATCTATCAAATAACTCGTGAAGAAAATAAATGTTACCAAAAAAAAAGAGAAACTTGCAGAATATGCAACGGCAGTTTCCTAGCAACAAAACTATCCGCTGCATCCTTAGTACCCTTCCAATCCACCAAGTCCAACTGCAAAACTTCAACTTCTTCGTTGTTAGTTTCTGTTTTGATTTTATTAACGGCCGTTTGTCCTCTTTCGATGCTTCTGCTGCATACAATCACATGCGCGTTTTTTCTGGCAAGTTCACGAGCTGTTACGTATCCAATTCCAGAATTGGCGCCTGTTACGATCGCAACCTTTTTATATAGAAAAAATTATTAATGAAGTCAATAAACTACGAAAAGAATCATTCATTTTTCTTACTTTGCCAGTAAGATCTGGGATATCATTGAATGAAAATCTCTTTCGTCCAAACATTTTATAGTTTTTTTTAGAATTTAGTATTATCTTTATCGTTATATACCAATACGTACAATTTGGATAAATAAATTAACCGAATATGGATAAATAAATTAAACGAATATTGATCAACCTGAGATTTCACACGCAACTTTTTTCACGGGTAAATTAATTAATGCTATCGCTATCCATGACAATGCTGTCTTTAGACAATTAGACAGCGTGAGAAAAAATAATTGAGGTAAAATATGCAAAATCTTAGTTTATAACAATTTGTCTAAAAATGTTGTGGATTCTTATATCAATTAGATAAAGATAAAGATTTTGTATTACTTTCTTCCTTTATATTTTTAGACAACTTGTCTAGAGTACGCAAACTGACCAACGTAATAATAAGAATTAAAAAGGTTCAATTAACAATAGCGACCGAAGGGCTTATTAAGACTGCCTTCAAGGAAACTAAAACACGAACTAAAATAAAATAAAACGTCGGGTCTTATTGAGACTGCCCAAATTATTAATATCAAAATCAAACGTTGATGATAAATCACAGGACTTATTGATATGGCCTGTAAAAGGGTCAATAATCAAATCAGTTCACAGTTTAATCAAGTTCAAAAATATGGCTTATTTAGAGTAGAGGTCTGGTCTTCTACTGTAAAATTTGTACGCAAACTTCTGAGAAGATGCTTTATTAACAATCTACATCCTTATTTGTTTCAGTGAGAAGCTTCTATTCATATAATTTTGTTATTAAAATATATATCGTAAAACTAATAAAGTTTCAACTACTAAAAGAATAACTACGGAACTCACACTCTAACTAATAACCAAAAAATTTCATGACAATCACACACTCACATTCACAACCACTACTACAATCACACTTGTTACATATAACATATTAGTCAAAATTAAGAATATTATAACTAATTCTACAACAGTATCCATAATCTGAGTGTTATAAATATTTAATAAAAAAATGACATTGAATATTGATCGTATATTTGAATAATATTACTGTTGCGTCGACCTCTCACAATTATTCGAATTAGAGAGGTTCTCCACAACACAAATATGAGCGAGACTGAATGATTTACGGAAAAAGAGGGTTTTTTAGGCGTTCTAAAGGTCTCTTGTGGCAAATTGACTCAACAAAATCCAAAATTAATAAAATAATAAAATCCTAATTGATGATACGGCTTGAACAAAGAAAAACTAAAAATTAAAATAAAATAAAATAAAATAAAATATAAACAAAATATCAATTCAAAGAAAATCAACGGCTTATTAGAGTGGAAAGTATCCACTATTTTGTTTCGCAAGATTTGATGATGATAAATAAAATAATAGTGTATTCACGAGTAATATTATTATTACAAGTAAGAACTTTGCTATTTTATTTGATCAAAGCATGTCTTCTCAGATGCTTAAGAACACCTCGAAATATGCATGATTTTATAATTCTATTAGTCATTATATATAATAATTTTGGACTATATATTACTAATATTACAATATACATGTATATATTTACAAGTATCAAATATCATGTAAATAAATAAAAATAATCCAATAAAATAAAAAATATTAATTATATAAATTAACAATAAAATTAAGAATTATAATTATGAATAATAAAAATAATACAATATCTAAAGTTATTAATTAAATATAGTAAAATACAGGTTTTTCTCTTTATATAAAAGTTTTCAATTTTATTAATTAATATTTTTAGTTTACATTAAAATGAAGCTAATATCAGATATTTTGATATATTTTTTTCAGTTATTTAGATTAATCTAATCAAGTTGTTCTAATTAAAGCTTTAACTGTTTAAAACAACCTGAAACTGATTTGAATCTGATCCAAAAATTATAATTCAGATTATGATTTTTCAATTCAAAACAAACTGGTTCAAATTATATCTAAATTTGAACTGATATAACTTGATCATTTAGATTAACCCAAAAATTTTGATTGGTTAAAATTTTTATAATTAAGTAAAAAATTTTTGTTAAGATATTATAATAATATAATTGTACAATAAAAAAAGTAATTGGTAATATAATTTTATAACAAAAGTAAAAAGTTAATTAAAAATATCTATTGTAATACTTTTAAAGAATTGCAATTATATTACAATATTATAGCTGATAGTAACTATATATTACAAGTTTTAACTAATATTATTAATTATAAGCTATATTATAAGTAATAATTTAGATTAATTATATCTAAAATTATAATTATATAATATTATAATTTATTATCAATTACATAAAAAATGGTAAATTAAAATATAAAGATTATTAACTAAATTTAGAAATATAGAATCATTAATTTATTATAATTATTCATTGTTATAAAAAACTAAATAAAATATTTTATAAATATTATTATTATTATTATTATTATAATTTAATATTTATTTAACTATATTTTATCTATTTATATTAAAAAAGGAAAAAAAATATAATTATTTTAAAGTCAAGCTTAATAATATTTGATTATTTATTGAATTTAATTAAAACTTATTATTAAATAATTAATATATAAATAAAAATTATAATTCAATAAAATATATTATTTAAAATATTTGTCTTCTCTAAAAAAAAGTACAAATTTGCTAAAATATAATTTTTAATTCTCTTTTTTTATTTTTTCTGAATCTTATATAGAATATAAATATAATAACTATCAAAAAATATATAATTTTATTTATATTCTTGTTATGAAATATATTTATATATATAAAAATACTTATCAAAATCTTCTAGTAACTATCTAAATTTTGTTAAAATTATAATAAACTATTAATAAATAGAATATTAAAATTCTGCAAATTTTAAAATCTGTTAAAACTGAAATTTTGTTTAAATTTTAATTAACAATTAATATATAACTATTAAAACTTTGCTGAAATATTTTTGGAGAGATTTTGATAAGTATTTATATATATATAATATAAGATTTTGGAATTTATTCTTGTAATTATATCTACTAAAATATTCATTAAAATATTAACTAAAATATAAATTATATTATCAATTTATTTTTTGTATAATATTCTTTCAAAATTATAATTTTTATTTTTTTAATATATAATAGTATTTCTTATTTTAATTTTTATATTTATTAATTAAGATATATATATACTTTTATCAATTTATTTATACTTATTTTAATAATAATTAGTTTAATATTTTTAATAAGAATTAAAGAGTTATTAAATCTTATTTATATATCAAATTTTGCTTAATTAAATTTTTATACTTAAAATATTATCTTATAATAAATAAATAATATATCAATATTTTGTACTAAATATATTTATATTAATATATTATTATTATTTTATATAAATATATTATTTAATATATTATTAAAATAATAAATAATATATTAATATTTTATATTAATTATAGCTTTTAGAATAATATAATTATTTTTTATTCCTGAGATAAATAATAAATATATTAATATTTTTGCATTAAATATAGTTTTAAGTAATTTATTAAATTTTGCTTGTAAAAAATATTATTATAGTTATTTATTAAAATTATATATAATATTTCTATATTAATATTTCAAATTAATTTATATATTATTTATATATTTTAAATTTTTGTTTATTATTATAATTATATATTAATATTTATTATTTATATAAATTATTATTTAGATATAATTCAAAATGAAAAAAAGTATTTTAGTTTAATTATAATTAATTTTTAGATATTTGATTAATATTTTAGGAAGTTTAGAAAATAATTCAAGTATTAAATAGTTATAATTTTAGAGCTTCTAAAAATATTATTTTATTAACAATTTTATAATATCTTGTTAAACTTGTAAATATTTATTATTAATTTATTAATATTTAATTTTTAATAACAAAACTCAAAAATGATATATAAGTTTAATAAATTAACTTGATTTTTTGCTTTTTGATATGAATTTTATTATAAATTTTATTTTAGAAAAAAATATAAACTTGCTAAAAACAAGTTAATTGAAATAATAATAAAAATCTTTGAAAAAAATATTCTAATTTATTAGTAAATTCAGAGATATTAACTAGTAATTTAGAATATTTTTTAATTAATATATTAAAAAAATAACAAATTATCTTTGTTTTTATTTATTTTTAAAAATTGAATAAATTTTAAAATTTTTAATATATATCTAAAATATATTTTTTTACTTATTAAATAAATAACTGGTAATTATTAATTCTTTATAATTATTAAAAAAATATTCTTTTTTAAAGATAATCTGAGTTTTTAATTTGAAACAAAGTTTTTTTTAGCTATTACTATACAAAATTGAGTTATTATAATATATACAGAAGAATAAAATAAAATTTATAAAGTAATATAAGTATATTATTTGTTTTATCTATTATAATTTTATTTTAATTAGGTTAAATATAATTAAAAATATTATTTTATTTATTTCAAATAAATCTCTTTTATTTTTAATACATGAATTTTAATAACTCAAATTTCTTTGCTTAATATTTTAACTTATTAAATTATAACAAATTAAAAAATAAAGAGTATAATTATTAATTTTGTATATTTACAATATCAAGTTCTAAAAGTAATTTTTTATAACAAATTAAATATAAAGAGTATAATTATTGATTTTGTGCATTTATAATATCAAGTTCTAAAGTAATTTGCTAATATTTTTTATAAAATATTAAAAAAATATAATATCTTAATAAAAATTTGATTTTATATTAATTTTAAAATACTTTATTTTATAATAACAAATTGTTTTAACTATTTTATAATATTAAATGAAGTAAGCATAAATAACATATCAAATAATGATACTATATTTTATTATTTTGATAAAAAATATATAAAAATAATATGAAATTCAACTTATTAAATTAATGAATCTGATATCTCTGTTATATTACTAATTTGATTATTCAAAATACTTTGAAAAATTTTAAGATAAAAAAACTAAATAACAAAAATAATTTGCTAATAAATAATCAAAAT